CATAAAACAGATTAAGAGATGTTTTTTGATTTTCTACTTTGCAGAATTATTTGAGGAGCATTAATGGTAGCTTTTCTTTGGAGATCTGGTAATAGTCTGTACTGATATGACCCTGGGATTACTGGGGATTGGGAGTTTTTTAAATACTGTGTCTATTTTACTAGGGGTTATTGATCTATTTATATTGTTTTTTAAATCTTGATTTAAATTTGGAGGTTCATATATATCAAAGAATTCATCCATTTCTTTAGATTTTCCAGTTGGGTAGAATACAGACTTTTAAAGTACTTTCTTATGATTCTTTGAATTTCATCATTATCTGTTGTAATTCTTGCCTTCACAGCTCTAATTTAATTAATTTCTATCCACCCTCTATTTTTCTTAGGTTAATTTGGCTAAAGGTTTGTTAGTCTCTTTGATTTTTCTCAAAGAACTAACTCTTTATTTTAATGATGTTCTGTAATGGTTTTCTTGCTTCTATTTCATTGAGTTCAGCTCTGAGTGTTACTATTTCTTTCTGTCTACCCACTTTGAGTATTTATTCTTGATTTTTTTCTGAAGCTTTGAAATATATCATTAAATTATTAATATGATACCTTTCCAGTTTTTTGACGTAGATACTCAGTGCTATGCATTTGGCTTATAGAATTGCATTCATTGTTTCTCATAGATTTTGTTAAGTTGTATTTTTATTTTAATTATATTCTAAAAAGTGTTTAATTTCCTTCTTGATTTCTGTTTTGACCCAGTTTTCTTTCAGTAGATAGTTGTTTAGCTTCCATTAGTTTGTGTACTTCCTGTTGTTTTTATTGTTGATATCCAAATTTAATCAATGGTGGTCAGATTAGATGATGGGAGTTCCTTCAATTTTCCTATGTCTGATAAGACTTGCTTTGTATCCAGTATGTGGTGAATTGTGGAGAAAGTCCATGGGCTTCTGAGAAAAAAGTATATTGTTTATGTTTTGGTTGTGGTTGAAATGTTCTGTACTTATTTGTTAGGTACATTTGATTTAGAAGGTTATTATTCTCCACAGTTTATCTGTTATTTTCTTGTCTAGATGACCTATATTTTGATTAGAGTGGTGAATTGAAGTCACCCACTATCACAATGTTAAGCTGAATATATGATATTTTAGCTGAAGTAGTGTTTCTTTTATGAAATTGAATATCCTTATGCCTGGTGCATCAATGTTAAGAATGTAATACTTTTTTGTTGCTTTGTTTTCCTTTAAAGATTATGCAGTGCCCTTTTCTTTTACTTCTGATTAGTTTTGGCTCAAAGTCTGTTTTTATCAAATATTAAAAGAGTTACCATGTTCTGCTTGCTACTTGGTTCAATTTACTTAGAATGCTTTTTTCCATTTTCTACCCTAAATTGATGTCTGTCTTTGGTGGTGGAGTATGGTTCTTCAATGCAGCAGAAAGATAGATCCTGATTTCTAATCTAATCTGTTAGTCTGTGTCTTTTTATTAGAGGAATAGAGGCCATTAATATTGAAATCATTGTTGAAAAGTATTTATTAATTCTGTTATTTTGTTAGAATGGATTTTCCCAATTTTGATGAACTGTTCTAGGATTATTTATTCCTTGTGTCTTCTTTGGTGTATTGACTCCTCACATTGAAGTTTTTCTTGTAGTGTCTTCTATGGAGCTGAACTAGTATAGAGAAATTGTTAAAATGAGTTTTTATCATGAAATGTTTTCTTCTCTGTAGATGGTGATTGATATTTTTGCTGTGTATAGTAGTCTAGGATGACATCTGTGGTCTTTCAGTTTTAGGACATTTGCCTAGACCCCTTTTTTTCAGAGTTTCCTTTGGAAAGTCAGGTGTTATTCTAATAGGTCTGCCTTTATAGGTGACTTGGTCTTTTTACCTTGCAGCTATAATAGCCTTTCTGTCTTCTGTATATTTAATGTTTGAATTATTATATCTCACAGAGAGTTTCCTTTCTTGTCCTATTTGCTTCTAGTTCTGAATGCCTATATACCCTGATAAGCGTCTCTTTCCTTAGAGCAGCAATTTAGCTATGCCTTTGTTATAATATTTCCTATGTCTTTGACCTGGGTTTTTTCTTCATCCTCTATATCTCCTATTCATATGAATTTTCTTTGCCATAGTATCCCAGATTTCCTAGCTGTTTTGTGCCTGCATTCCTTTAGATTTAAGATTTTCTTTGACAGAGATATCCATTGCTTCTACCTTATATTCAAGACTTGAAATTTCCTCTTCTATTTCTTTTAATCTGTTGGTGAGGCATTTTCTTTGAATTTGACTTTCCAAATTTTTCATTTTGCATTTTGCTTCAGATTAGTTTTTCCTTAGTGATTCTATATTGGTGAAATTATTAAGGCCACTCCATGTAGTTAAAAGGGAGATTTATTTAATGGCATAACATACAAATGAAGGGATAGGTAGGTTGCAGGTTCTGGGAAAGACACAACGCAGTCCAGCGTTGTTCTCTGGAGAACTCTCCTCAGTCTACCTCTAGTGTCCAGCGTCCACGAAAGAAGAGAGTGTGGCGCATCCCGATCTCAGGTCTTCAGGGCCCTCCCTTCACCCCACCTTGTAGGCGTGATAGTTACCAAAGCCTCAATGGGGGTTGAAACTTCCAGACCAAAGCTGGAACGGCTACCCACTACAATTCTATTTCTTTGTTAATTTCATCTTTCATGTCTTGAATTGTCTTCCTTATTTAATCTAACTTGTAGTTGATTGTGTTAGCCCTATTAGCCCCACACTGGAATTATTTTTGAGCTTCTATAAGGATGTCCAGAGGGCAGTTTCTCCCAGCTCACACTGTGATGATAAGCTGCTTGCTGATAACAGCTAGAAAGGATTTCTGTAGACTAGACACAGAGTACATCACATACAAGTGAAATTTTCTATTTGCACCAATCATAGCAGTCTTCTTGTTAGGTGTTGAGGAAGTGCTCTGGGTCTAGCTAGATGGAAATGATTCCCAGTTCATGTACATTCCTCAAGCTTTATGACAGGAAAAAAAAGTATGATAGAAATTATTTGAAAAATATCACTGAATCTGCACCTTTGAGTGCTGAAGCCCTGAGCTAAATTTCATAGTTTACTCATGATATCTGTACAGTGTTCTAAGTAGCCAGAGTTGATATGAGGGTCATTGGCTAGCTGTGTGACTGGCAGTCTTTTTGCTCAAGGAAGTTCCAATTAAAAAGGAGAGCCCACAGTAGTTGGATGAGGTTTCTAGCACAACAATTAGGGTGTTTGGCCATCCCATCACCAGAGTAGGTCAGTTCGGGCTGTTAAAATAAATTAAAAAAAAAATAAAAAAAAATAAAAAAAAAAAAATAAAATAGAGATAATGAAAAAAAAAAAAAAAAAAAAAAAAAAAGGAGAGCCCAATACCCACTAATTAAGGAACCAAACTTCAGAGTCACCAAGCATGTTCCTAGTTCTTACTTTCTGGAATTGATAGCAACTGTAGTAGTTGGAGTTTTCCTGTCCCAGCTACTGCTCTGAAACAACCACTCAGAGACTTAATATTAACTATAAGTGCTCATCAGATAGCTCTGGCTTATTACTAATTCACTCTTACAACTGAAATGAACCCATTTTTTATTAATCTATGTGCTTCCCCAAGGCTCATTTACCTCCCATATGAACCTCCCATATTGCTTCTTCCGCATCTGGCACCTGACTCCTAACTTTGCCTTTTCTCTTCCCAGTGTCCTTAGTTTGGTTCTCCCACCTAACCTTGTATTGTGAGGCTATTAGCCAGTCATTTTTTTTTATTAAATCACTCACAGTGACATATATTCACAAAGTGTAAAGAGATATTAAACAAACTCCCTGCAAAAAGGAGGTTCTCTAACCAAGGCTGTGAGTAGCACCAAACTGTGGATATAAACATGGATATTTTAAAAGAAAACTGACAGTACGTTGTGAGGTTTGTAGCAAGCCTTTCTCTTTCCTTCCACCTAGCTCCCATATCAAGACACAGAGACATATTAATCATGACAGCATAGACTTTTTTTCAGCCAGCTTTTATAATTTATATTAAGCTACTTCTATTAATTACTTGCTGCCACATGGCTCATGGCTGTTACCTCATCTCCTACATGTCATTCTCTTTCTGTGTCTCCATGGGAGTCTGTTCTTCTTCCCAGCATCCTCTGTGCCCTGAAAATTCTGGCCAGACATCTCACCCTATTCTACCATTAAACCGTGAGCAAAAATAAACATGTTCTCTCTTCAGTTTCTTAGGTCAGGTATATTTTCCCATCAGTGACGGAAGTAAACAATACTCCAGCAAGGCTTCTCTGGGCACCCTAGCTAATTTCTTATTACCTTTATCATAGAGCTTCCTCATTTTGCTCTGTAGGTTTTCAGTAACATTTCGTTTTAGAATTGGAGCTGAGATTACTTACTGTTACAGATAGTATTCCTCACTCTTAAAACCCCACATTTGGGGATTCTTTGTCAAACAATGAAACTCTATAATACAGTCACATTTGCTCAGTGAAAAGGGTCTGAAGACTTGTCCTGTACTCAGCACACTAGTTTTGGAAACTGCACTCAAGGCTGAATTCAACTTTTCACCTGTGTGTTTTTAATGCCTTGGCTTTTCTGGGCAGGACACAGCCTGTTTGTTGTTGAACATGCTTTTGTCCTTAAACATCACACTTGAAGCCTGTATTCCGCAGTTTTATCTGCAGGTCACTAAATTTTTATTTTATAGCAACACTCAAATGTTTGAAAGATATTTCTGAGCAATCACTGCTTTACAGAAAAGGATTTTTTTTAAGTTTTGTATATAAAAGATTTAGATTAACAATTAGCAAAGTTATAGATATAAAACATGGACTTTAGATAACACAAAAATGTATAAAGAATATAGGAAACCACCATTTCCAAGAATTAAGAGCTTGCTTTTATAGATATGGTATTTCAACATGTCTTATATACATTTATTTTCTGGACTTGGGTCTTCTTTCTGTAAATAGTATCCTTGGCATCCAGGTTTTCAGAAGTATGGTTCTAGAGAGGTATTCATAACTGAATCAGGGTTGAATGACCTTCCTTCTGGCATTGATGACCTTAAGGAAGAAAATGATGAGATCAGATCCATTGTAATACAGATGGTTCTACAGTTCTCTCTACATTCCTGCTGACTAGTCACCATGAGTCACATCCCCTTTTCCACTCTGTCCTATCTCTTTAAATGCCTCTCTGTCCCTGGAGTCATCTTTCTTCCCTTGCTGGGGACTATGGAATTAACTGGTCAGCCCTACAGGCTTGAGTACAGGTGGAAGAGTGGGTGTGTCACAGAGCTACAGTGGAGAGGAAAGAGCTGTAGTCCCTGAGGTAAAGATTGAGGTGCAGAGTCACACAGCAGGCAGGTTGGGAGGAGGAAGACAAGGCTTTTACTGGTGCAGCTGCCATGGGAGCAGGTTTGGAACTTTGGCTGAGGGGCTGAGAAAGATGGTACTGTAAGTGCATATGTATGTGAATGAACAAGTGGTCCTTTCTACTTTTTCCGTTTACATTGTAATAGAGGCTTTAAAAAAACTGTAAAATGAATCCCACATGTGTGTATGTATGACAAAGATTGTGGATTTTTAGCACATTGTGGTCTGATTTGCCCAGGGCATCCTTGGGAACTTTCCATTTCTATTCATCGTCCTCTGCAACAGAAAGTATTTGAATGCTATAGGGGAAAACCCCAAGGTTCTTTGAGTTTTAGTCTCTGGTCCAGTACAAAAATCAGTGTTGTGTGATATTTTGTTTGTTTTCTGACAAATGAAGCTTTCATGGAGATCAGAGTGTGGAGCTTGTCACTTGTTAAATGTAGAGACCAGGCAGTGGTGGCACATATCTTTAATCTCAGACCTTGAGTGGAGGAAGCAGGAAGATCACCGAGTTCAAGGGCAGCTTAGGTTACAGGAGGTCAAAGAAGTCTAAAAGAGAAAGAAAGCCAGGTGTTGGTGGTGTATACTTTTAGTTCCAGCACTAGGCAGGTGGAGACAGGAATATAAGGCTATTGAGACAGAATCTCAGCCCCTTTCACTCTGAGGATTCATAGAGACAGGATCTCCCCATTCCCTCAGAGATTTCATAGATGTAAAAAGTCTCAGGTGGCTGGCTACTCTGCTTCTCTGATCTTTCAGGTTTTACCCTCGATATGTGAATCCAGGATTTTACTGTGAAGACTAAATAGGTTCATGCTTAAAATCAGGGAATCATAATTTGAAACAAACATCCTAATTAACCCAAGTCTTGCCTAATTATCTCTCTGCTTTGAGAAATGAGATAGTTTTTATCATTTAGCTAAACATATAACAACTTTGAGTCTTTCTGAATTTATTTCCTTTATATGATTTAAAAACTCTTACTTAAAAATTAATGGAAGCAAATTGACTTGTTAAATGGGCAAAGCTTAATTTTCCTCCACTTGTTGGATTTTGTATGTAATGCCAACAATCAAGTTTTACTAGAGTATTAAAATAATACATGATTCTTAGGAAGAATGGTATTTCCCAGAGCACACACCTGCATGTAACTGTGCTTTACAGACTTCAGCTGCCAAGTATCTTCTCTTGAGGTCAATTGAAAGCAGATGAGTTGAACTTTATTGCCTGGCTCACATTTGATACTTGTCAGTCGTCCAGAGACCACCACTTCCATTTTCCCAGTATTGTCTTCAATTCCATAGTAAATGAAGTCATTCCTCTCATTTTTCTGAGAAACAAGTTAACATTCACCTTTTAGGAAATATGTGAAAGATTGTCACATCTATGAGAAATAAAGAGTGTTAGCATAAACCTGTCCCTGACAAGGCAAATATGGCTCTTAGGTTCAGAATCATAGGTACATGGGTCAGTGTAATGGCACCATGGTAAGGGTGCTTTTTTGCAAGCCTGATTACCTGGGCTCAATTCCCAGGACTCATGGTAGAAGCAGAGAACTCATTCATGGAGCTTCTTCTGATTTCCACACTATTTTCATGGCTTTGTGTTTCTCTCAACCCTCATAGGCAAAATAAAGAAATAACTGAAAAAATAGTATCACAGGAACAGAAGAGGTGAAGATGTTTGGTAAACAAATCTTTTCTTGGAAATGACTCTTGAGGTTTTTATTGTGCCTAGCCCTTAATGACTGAGCCATCACTGCAGCCCTTGGAAGCCTTTCTTAAGTTTTCCTTACTTGAGGTCTTTATCTGCTGGGTGTCTTTAGACAGATGAGTATCTTCCTAAGTACTAGTTGTAACATATCAGAATAGATGAGATTTCTTGAGGATTCCAAGTAAGGGGTCAAAATTAAGAAAAAAAATTGACAAAACCCATTTAGTTATGTAGGTAAAGTTTTCCTGCCTGGCCCACACTCAGGACAAATCTCTCTCATCTGCCAGTCCCACAGCCGCTCAAACCCGACCAAGTAAACACAGAGACTTATATTGCCTACAAACTGTATGGGCATGGCAGGCTTCTTGCTAACTGTTCTTACAGCTTAAATTAATCCATTTCCATTAATCTATACCTTGACACATGGCTCGTGACTTACAGGCATCTTTACATGCTGTTTGTCATCATGGCGGCTGGCAGTGTCTCTCTGACTCAGCCTTCCACTTCCCAGCTTTATTCTCCTCCTTGTCCCGCCTACACTTCCTGCCTAGCCAACGGCCAATCAGTGTTTTATTTATTGACCAAACAGCAACACATTTGCCATACAGAACATCCCACAGCATAGTTACCATTGCAGCTTTCTTAGGTACATCCAGGAGACCTGAGAAGAAAAGGCTACTTGTGGCTCATTGTATGTCTGAGAAAGACTATTATAAGTCCCTTTTCATTTAATTTATTTTATTTTTTATTGAAAATAAAGTTATTTTCATACAACATGTTCTGATCATACTTCACCTCCCCTATTTCCTCTTAGGTAATCCTCACCTCCCTACCCTTTCAACTCCACACCTTTTTTCTCTCTCTTTTAAGAAAACAGTCAAATAAAGAAGAAAACCAATAAGAATAAGACAAAATGAACAAACTAACAGAAATAAAGAAGAAATATCATGAGAAACAAATAAACCGACATATAGACAGATAGGCACACAGCCAGCCAGACAGACAGACACACACACACAAACACACCTGCTATTTAAAGGATCACATTTTCTGAGTGCACATATCGATTCACTCTACTCCTTCCTTATCCATCAAAAGTAAATCTACAGAAATGTTTCTGGTGTTTTAGTTTGTGTCCCATGTAGTTTACTTATTAGTTGTATAACGAAATGTAGCAGCACAATAAAAACAGCATAGATAAAAGGAAAAAGCCATGACTGATTCATACACAATGACTTACAAAATCATACATTGAACAAGCAAGCATACTAATGAATTAGTACATCAGCACTTAAAGAAACATTCAAAAGTCATAGAATTCCTTAAATTTCTTCACTTTTATTGTGCCTATTATGAATTGTGAAATTAAACTAGATTGTTTAACTCCTCTTTCTCTCATTATTTAAAATAGTATTCACTCAGTCAAAAGATCTTGATAAAAAGTAAAGAATGTGATAATGAGAGCACATTAGAGAAATAATCCTGGCTTGTTGGACATGGCTTCATTCTTGGGCAGAATATTCTCTTTGCTTTTTTATTCTCATCATTTCAAACTGTGTGCAGGCTATGAGTTTGACTCTTTATTCACTACTGAGTTGGGCAAGGAAGCTATAAAAGAAATAGAATCTAAAAGGAAGGTGTAACAATAACTGAACAATGTCTGGGAATAGGATGACTATAGATGGATTGTCACAACCAGAAAAATGTCAAAGGTTATTGATGGAATCTTTCTAAAGAATTTTCCTTGTGGTACCTTGAGGGGAAGAATGATACGAGAGCATCTCAATCCCCAAAGTGAGGAAATCCTACTCATCTCTTTCTGATATGAAAGGGAATTACTTCCTGTGTTAAGTAAGTTGAGCAAATTCCAGTCCAAGTTAACCTTTAACATCTCAGATTGCAAAAGGCAATGTACAAATAATGCAATGGCTTACCTTAGTTACCACAAACTCTCCATTCACGTATGTTCCTTTTATTTGAGAGAAAAGATCCTTAATTTTAGGAGTTCCATTGGCTCTTCTCCTCAGTGTATTTGAGATAATCATTGTTCGCTTAACATTCACATCAGACACACAGGAAGCTCCATATATCTCCAGAAATCCACTGATGCCAAAATAATCTGATATGGCAATGATATTTTGTGGGATGAACTTGTTCTTTAGGGCTGTGTCAAAAACCTTCACTCTGAAGAATTCAGTCTCAGTAGCCACCGTGGCATGGAACATCCTTTTGTTATTGATCAAATCATAAGTAAATGGTTCTGTTACTTTCAACACCATCACTTCTTTGGGATTTTGATGGTGACCTATTACTTTAGAAGGCTCCTTTGGTACATTTCCCCACTTCAGTGTCTATATAAAACACACACAGGATAAACATACATAATTCAGACATATCATGAGGCACAATTCCACTGAGTTTAGAGGAGAACGTCTAAACAAAGATTGCCATACTATAACCTAAAAAAAGTAAGAAATGGATATTTATCTATATCACTCCCTAGTGATTCCAGTTAATACTAAACATACCCACCTGGTAGATAAAGGGATCATACTTGTAGTTCTGGGGAATGAACTCAAAGCCTTCAATGCTTTCGTTAAGTCCTCTATTGAGAGAGATTTGTCCTGATGGTGGGCCAGGCAGGACTGGAGAAAACTCCAGCTACAAATGGTGCCCAAGTGCTCAAGTTTCCACCTTAAACCTGAGAATATTTAATAAACAATTCTAAATGGAGCCAAAACCAGGTTCCTGCTTCATGTCTCATAAGGGCGACTAGACACTGCAACATGTGGGCTTGAGCTACTCTATGGTGGGTTCCCTACATATAGGCTTGACCTATTCCTGCCGAGTTACACAGAGGTGTCTGTGAGTTGTGCAACATGGTGTGTGGTGGATTTAGCCTTTGCTGGTACAAAAAAAGAGGTCTGGGCTACATTCTGCTTTGATAGAAGCATAAACCCACTGTGTCTGAGAGTTGATGGCTCCCAGACCCGGCAGTAAACATACCACCGCCATGTTGGGAACCTGAGGTGGGCAGAGCCACCAGCCAAAGCTGTTATTTTAGCCCTAGTAATGCTGCAATTTAAAGCAATAGTTATACAATAAGGCAGATTTAGTTGGGACAAGACTTTAAATGGTTTATAATGTATGTAAAAATGTATGTAGGCTTGAAAGAGAGAGAAAAAGGAATATATGCAGTTATGTAAACAAATAGTTTTTAAAAATAAAGTCTTTAAAGACACAGTAAAGGTAGTATAAAAAATAAGCCACGTAAAGATAGATATTACAGAGAGAATCTAGATTGTGTTGTCTTTGGGAATTTTAACTGCAGAAAAACATTTGATCACAAAAGCTGTTGAGTTAAGCCAATATGTATATTGTAGAGGTATCTTGACTTCAAAATTTGGATGTAAGGATATGTTGCTTTGGAAAAGAGGCTCTGCTTTGGTTTCCACAGAAAGCCAGAGGCTATGGATTTGTTCCAGATTAAGACACATCAGGTTTGACCAACCAAGACCCCCTGAAAGGTCTCTGATGACACCATGGCCCAGATGATCCAATATCCAGAATGGTTTCAAGGCAACTGGCTCAGACAATACAACCTCACGGACTACTCCATAATCCTAAATTTTCTTTATGTCCCAATAAGAATACAGCACCCCCATCCAGCAAGAAGTAGTATGAGAAGCTAGGCCTAAATTCCCAAATATACCAAGCTGGCTTTGGAGATGGAATTGGCTCATTCTTTCTCTAAACCCAACAATATTACTAAAACAAAAGGTTAAGAGATTCTTGTGTCCCATATCAGAAGAGCCCTCTGGTGTGGGACAGAGAAAAACCAATATTTTTATAAATGCAATCCCTTTCTAAAGAAAAAAAAGGGGACAGTATAGATAACGATAGGATAAAAGAGTAGATTGTTGAACCTACTTTTAAAGAGCAACAACTTGTTTGAAATGCTTTACATTGGTATAGATTTTAGTTTATTGATACAAATTTAAAGTAAATTTTGTTATACTGTATATATATTTCTACTCTCGTTTGAGGTATTATGTTTATGTAACTCATTTAGATTGTAATGGATAATTACAAAATAGATTAATAATTAGTCATGTATTATAATCATACTTGTAGCCATGTTAGTTAATTTTTCTAGGGTTAAATAGATATATTTCAGATAGACAGGTAATCCTCAAACACTTCAAAGACCTACAGAAAAAGGCATTTAAAATGTTTTAAAAATTTAGACTTTCTGGACAGTGAGACATGTCTGCTCTTGGCAGCACCGATTTACTTCAGAGAGGAGGGTAGGCATCGAAGACACTCTATATAGAGTTTATCTTCACCTTGGCAAAAATAGCCATTTGGGCAAGAAACTGATCTTGCCTGAACTGCTTGATCAACTGGACATGCAGGACCCATAGAAAGGTGACCACTGAACTTTGCTTGACAAAACAGTCCTTCAGGTTCCTGCTTCGCAGAGGAAACTGCCAGACATTCTACAGGACACAGAGAAAAGTAAATGAGAGACTCTAGGCCTGTGGGCTGAAGACAGATGCCCCAACTTTACAAAGGAACATTAGGTGACTATCCAGGCTGTAAGCTGTCTCTGTCTACTCTCGCAAGACTCTTGAAAGTTGCTTGTGTCCTTCTCCCATTTCTCAGGTAATATTATATCCTTCTGAGGTCTTTGATGTAGTTGAAGACTAGATAGTTATAATTTCCTTAGTTATGATAAGAGATAAGTTAGATATGAAACCTTAGACTCACATATATAGGAGAGACTACAAATAGACTAGATATTATAAATAGACCAGATATTGTAACTGTAATTCTTGCTTGATAATTGTTTTGTTATATGTAATTTTACTATGTGAAAGTTAAAACATTCCTTTTTGAAAAAAAAAAACAAAAGGGGAAGTGCTGTGGATATTACTCTGTGTAAAGAAAATGCTGATTGGCCAATAGCCAGGCAGGAAGTACAGGCGGGACAAGCAGAGAAGAGAATTCTGGGAACAGGAAGGCTTAGTGAGGAGACCCTGCCAGCCACTGCCATGACAAGCAACATGTAAAGATACCGGTAAGCCACAAGCCATGTGGCAACTTATAGACTAATAGATACGGGTTAATTTAAGATAGAAGAACTAGATAGCAAGAAGCCTGCCACAGCCATACAGTTTGTAAGCAATATAAGTCTCTGTGTGTTTACTTGGTTGGGTCGAAGCGGCTGCGAGACTGGCGGGTGAGAGATTTGTCCTGACTGTGGGTCAGGCAGGACTGGAGAAAACTCCAGCTACAAACTCTGTTTAAGACTATTTTGAAGATTTCAGTTACAAAACCTTGTCTAAAATGTCAGATCTTTGTGGTAAAAGGGGTTAGGTAGGCAGCCCCAGGAAAATGCCTTCAAAGATTGTTAACCAGAAAGCGTTCAGGCTAAAAGTTCTTCTTTTTGCATAATAGCAGGAATGGAGGAGAATTCTGGGACCAGAAAAAGTTGCTGAAGTCTTTTTACTTTGATCACCTTCCTCCTCAGTACACCACTCCTTTCAGAGCATCAAGAGAGCATTATGACTGTAGAGCTGAAAGAGGAAGCATGATGGCAGTCATGGCCAACCTGGGTACCAGCACAGGGAGGCAGCTAGTAGCACTTTCTGAAATCTGACTTGGAAACATACAGATTTCACCCTGTGGTGGGGTTGGGTTTAACTGATTCCTGATGGATGTGTTGTAACATTAGGAAGTACATTTCCCTTATAACTAGAGCAGCAGATTAGATGAGGGCATTGATTAGGAGATGAAAAAAAGTACATGATTAGGAGATTAGATGAACTTCTTTCAAGGTTGTGATCCTTGTAATTATATTAAGAAAGCATCAAAATGGGAACAGGAAGCCGTTTCCTTTGATGAGGAATGGCTGGGAGAGTTCAATGTATGCCTGGGAGGGTCTGAAGCTGACTCTCAGCAAAAGTGACCATTACAGATATACGGTATTTGGTTAGTGAATGGACATGGATAAAGACTTCCAAGCAGGGAAACAGCATGTGTCAGAACACCTGGTGAGAAGAGCATAGAATGGTGAAAGTAACCTTTTGTTGGGTCATCAGCAAAGGGAAAAGGGCATAGAAGAAACTAGGCAATGGGGATTGAGACAATACTGTGTTTATCCCTGTTTGTCTCCCCTATACTTTCTTCTGAACACTAAGTAGAAAGTTGGTTGGCATTATTAGAAATCATTTCAAAAATACTTACCACTTCAATACCAGGGAGGCTCTGATACATGATTAGATAACTTAATGAGCTATTTAATAATATGAGGAAAACCTTTGTAGTATTGGACCAGTGAGAAGTTTTTCCAAGGTTGTGGTGATCCCAGAGATATGCTTTGGGAAGGGCCAAGCATTAGGAATTGGAAAGTGGTACCTTGTTTGAGGAACTGCTGGATGGTGTTGGTATAGGCTTCTGAGGAGTCTGAAGACAACCTTCATCTTTTTGTGTGTTGCTTCCTGAAGGTTCTGGAAGCTGAGTCTGCTCCTGGGTAAGCTTCATTTTCTTACTACCTTCAGTTTTTATGGTTTCTTTTCTCATTTCCTGAAAGGACAATGTTTGCCTTTCCTTACTGATTTTCCCATGTGTTGGAAATTGAACCCCAAGCTTTGTACATGCTAAGTTGTGTTTTTCTATACAGTTTTATTCCCAGTTCTTAGTAATGTGTTTAGTATTAAATAAATAATAATTCAAGACCATAAGAATTTTTGTTTTATTATGGATTCTAATTATATTTGTGTAGTTATGCACACCTCATTCTTAGCAAATGGATTGTACAGTGTGATGGTTTGAATGAAAATGGTCCCCATAGGCTCCTACATTTTAATGCTTGGTCTCCAGGGTATGGCAGTATTAGGAGGTATGTTCTTGTTGGAGTAGGTGTGATTTGTTGGAGGAAGTGTGCCACTGAGGGGTTGGCCTTTAGTTTTCAGATGCTGAAGCCAAGCCCACTGTCACTCTCCTTTACAGCTGCCTATGGAGGTGTAGAATTCTCCACTACCTCTCCAGGACAATGTCTGCCTGAATGCTGCCATGCTTCCCACCATGACAATAATGGACTAACCCTCTGAATGTAAGCAAATCCTAGTAAATGTGTTTTTAAATAAGAGTTACAGTAGTCATGGCATCTCTTTAAAACAATAAAAACACAAGTAAGACATATAGAACTGTCTCATAGAGGAGTAGAAAAATTATATTTATCTCATCCTATCCCTGTGGCGTCCGAAGAGTATTAGGTGTAGAATTACAAAGTCCATATTTAGGTTTATTCTTTATAAAAGCCATATCCCAAAGCAACTGCTATTTCAGTAAATTGTCTTTAAAAAGCCACATGGTAATTTTTTGTTTGCATCCCTGGGGGTTATACTGCACGAGTTAGAGACATTGTATATCTGACACTAAATGAGTGACAGGTCCCTATGAATTTGTTGACTTAGATCCCTGTTCTCACTAGAGCCGTGGACTAGATAGATAGAGTACTGAATCTTCCTAAAGAGTTAAGAAAGGGAGGAACCTGGGGAGAAGCTTTTTGGTGGGAGACCAGCCACCTTACCTGTGCAGAGGGTTCGCTCTTGTCTGATTCATTGTCGGTGGAAAGAGATCGGGAACTACTGGGTTCTTCTTGCTTTCTTCTTTTCACTGCAGTTTTGTTTTTTCCTTCTTAACTGTAGGGATAAAGAAAACACAATAAATCCAGGGAAGTGGTTAAGATGGCTGAAGCTCATTCAGAATTATTTATTTTCTGTTTTTTAAATGAAATTGATAATTTATTCCATTTTTGTTAATAGTTTCACAGAAAGACAATGATTTCACGTTGCTTTTAACAAAACTTTAATCATTCAATTTTACCAATAAAGACTCAGAGCCAGATGTCGAGGCAACAACCTGCTAGCTCACAGAGGCAGAGAAAGCACCCATCTGACCCTCTTTTCTGTTGGTGTCCCATAAACCCCACTTCTTTTACCGTCTCAAACCAAAACCTACCAAACTCCAAGTCCCTCACTTCTACTTTCTGTGCTTCTCTCTAGCCATCCCCCCTGGTTACTCTCTATGTTGGATTCTTAATAACCCGATGCTCAGTTCTTACCAACTGGCTGCTCGCTCCACCTCTTGACCTACGGTTGACTTTGTTTAATCCAGTTTACAATATTCATACAGAATGCTCTTGGAATAAATCGGTGTGCCAGGCCTGAGCCCAAACCTAGAAACAGTTTTTTCCCCAGCAAATAATGCAATGTCGGGGTGCACAGTATGATCAAATATCCTCCAATAATTTCAAGAACTGTTGTGTCTCTACTTGTGTCTGTGTGTTTGCTATAGTCTGCTGTAGAGACTCTACCTGGCCAGAAGGCCACCGGTGGAACCAAGTCACATACAGACATTGGATTTTGACTTCTATATTGGGGATATATATTTATATGGAACTCATGATATTCTTAATCTGCAGGTCTCCTTTTCTGGGCCTCCTTATGCTAAATTCACATGTCAGAGTTGTATACCAGTATGTCCAATATTGTTTAAACCCATAGACTTTATAAAGAGATACTTCACATCTCTAAAATGAGGGCTTCTACTTAAATGTTATATCACATTTTTTTTAACCAGAAAAGGTATTGATGAATGGGTAAGATTGTAATTTAGTATTAAATTTACTCTTGTTAAATGCTTTAAATAATTTTCTCATTTTTATTTTATTATTTTCTAGTTTTTCTATAATATTTGGATGTTCTAACCTATCTCAACAACTGCTTTTTATTTTTTTTACCTCCAATGCAAAAAAATGACGAACCTGAAATATATCAAGTTTCTTTGTAAGAAAGGGTCTCTTGAAATCATCAACTTGTTGACATCTGAAATGCTTCAACCCCCATAGTTTCTAAAGCACACACTGGGAAAGGAACGTATCAGCTCTGATCTCTGCAGGGAACCAGAAAGTTTGGGGAGGCTGGAAAAGGGATGAATGTCCAGGATGCTCCCATGTTACCTTTTGCTCTCTCTGTTCTAAGCCTTTCAGCAAGGTCTTCAAGTTCTTCAATGCTTTCACACACATTTATGAACACGTCCAGTCCAGCATCTTTTGGGAATGTGTCCTCCATCAGGTCAGCTATCTGAATTCTGTCATAATCATCTTGCATCTTTTTTGTTAGCTTTAGTTCTTTTCTTAGTAAGGACTTGATTTTCCTAAACTGGTAGTCATCCACAGCCACGTCCTCTAATCCTTGTTGAAGAACAATTGTCTTGTATTCACTCATTATCTCTACAATTATGGACGATCCTAAAAGATGAAAATGGACATAGGATTACAGACATACACAGACAATTCCAACACAAGGTTATTCTTGTGTGAGTGAATGACCCCAATTGCATGTAAGAGAAAAGCAGAGTTAAATACAAGCTGTGGCATTGTGCAGATTGGATGTAGAACTTCTGTACTAATAAACAAGTGTAGGATATTCTTCCCCATAAGGCATCTTAGGTGACTTAGACCAGTGGCAGTTGTGGTTGAAGAAAAGTGTTAGAATCACTAATTGTTGCAGTGTTTAGAGTATGGGCTATGAGTGTTAATATCGTGGATCCTTTTTCCATTCTTATTTGGCTCTGGAGCCTGTCTCTGGATATCTGCCTGTGGGTTTCTGATTTTTCCCATTCTAAAGTGACGTATATGCAAATGGACTGCATCCTATTACTGTGTACCTAGATACAATGACAGAAGTAAGATGACCACGCTGAGTCACTGACTATTGTCCACTCGGCTTTGCCTCAAACACCTCTCATTAGCATCCTGTCTCTCCCAGACTTGGATTGTGGTCTACCAACAAGTCATGTAAAAATCCTCTCCAGATCTTTTAATAGTGTTCTAACCTATTAAAAATATTCCTTTGTCATAAAATATATTGAACATTCTTCAGTAAGCTGCACCCTGCCATTTATATTTATTCCTGAGATCATATGCTTTAAAATATATAAAACATACTCCTAAAATAAAGGTTTATGGTATGTCTAATGTCTTTTTCATTGCTTGGCAAGCCATTCTCACATTTCTTTCTCTATCTACTTTTCATAAACTTTGAAAACTTAAGAGTTAAATGAGGTGTGTGATGGGAGGGAAGGAGAGTGGAAGAAATAGAGAGAGGAGTAACTAACAGTAATTATGTTTCCAAAACAAATATAGAAACCTATTGCTGTAGAAGCTGACGAAAATATTATGTATATATATGCATATATATTCTATTTGTCTATCATCTATCTTCTCTCTTTCTTGCTATCTAAAAACTATCTTTCTATCTAACTCATTTATCTATCTATGTATCTATCTATCATTGTATCTATCTTTCATCTATCAATCTAAATATCTATCTTTCTAGAATTTACACATTACTCTATAATGCAGCAGGTATGTTGCTACTAGATACCACAGGTTAACAAAAATCACAGTGGTAGGAATGAATTTACTCTCTTGATGTTATTGGCCAGTCAGTTCTCATAGACCCCCCAACATATAGCCTATTGACAATGCTTTTGGGTACACTCCAGTACTTTATGGTAAGATTCTATTGCAGAAGACATCGCATTCTTGAGTTACAGAACATGGAGAATTCAACTTGACACTCACCTGGAAGCCTCATCCCTACTGACTAGATTTTCCAATTCTGGAGAGGACTAGGCACAGTACTGGAGTAACAAAATAGTCATTAACTTTACTCAGTTGTGGATCCTTGCAGGTAGAGCAACAACCAGTCTGGCAAAACATGCTCACTGGTGCAAGAGTGGCATGAATGTTGTGGGATTAACCATCCATTTCATGATTTGATCTAAGGCCTGTGTGAGTGGAAACCCATACCTGACACCATTACTGAGACTGAAAATCTGCGACTAGACTACTCATTGTCTCTAGTGGAGAACCTATTTATTTTACACTGCTAAATAAAAATAGAATTAAACTTATTATTAAGCCAATAAGTCTTTCAACTCTCATCAGAGACATTTGTAAGGAATAAATAACAAAAATTAGAAAATAAAAAGCAAGAAAAAAAATTGGCTTTCTGGAAATTCCCAAAATTCCCCAATGGACAGAGTGTTCTGTTCTGTAGATTATTCACATTTTATATACTTCTGTGATAATCTTCAGAGAATGGAATGAGTTCAATATTCTAATTCTCTTTATGGTATTTTAGTTTGGGAATCATGCCTGTAAGAACCTCAGTTTAATTGGATATTAAATTTCTAGGGCTTTTAATTTCTTCCCATTTTTGGATGAAAAAATGAACATCCTCCATGCTCAAAGAAATCCAAGGCTGAACAGAATATCCACACAAGGCACATGACAGGGAAGACAAAGAGTATTAGGAAAAGGACATACTCTGTAAGCCATAAGACATTAAAAAAAATAGATCACCTACATATTTAAGAAGGAGAGTAAAGCTGATTCTCAACAATGAAACTCCTTTCTTCAGAGCAGCATTCCAATTTCCATACAATACTGATATCCAGATCCCAGGGACAATTGAAATAGAAAACTTTTATTTGAGTTGATACTTGTGAAAACACAACTATTTCAAATACAACCAGATATGTGATGACAAAGACAATGTGTAATTTTTATGGGTTCTTTTTATTTGAGAACATCCATTTTGTTTTTGAAGTGTTACTGCTTTTGAATTTGGACTAATCATCTCAACATCAGTAGAATTTTCAGTTTATACACCCTAGTATACCTGCATCAATGCCAATCTATGCCCAATAGATTCTGCATATCAGTATGTGTTCATCCTCACTGCTACAAAGCTAAGAACTTTAAATGTACAGTGTCTTTAAAACACCTAAAGTCTCTTTAAATTTCAAAGATTCTCAAAATATCCCAAGTCTCTCTAAAATTCTAATGTCTTTAAAAATTCAAAGTATCTCAACTGTGAGCTCCTACCAAAAAAAAATGTCCCCTACCTCATTATTTCAAGAGGGGAAAACCAGGTCATAATTTCATTCAAATCAAAGCAAAATCAAAATTCCACAGTGTAAAAAGATTCTCTGGTCTCCAAAGGGCCTTGGCAGCTCCATTTCTCCTGCTCTTCCATCCAAGCACACACAGTGCTTCTCCTGTGCTTAGGCTACTGCTCTCCACACCTGCTGCTATCCTTGGTGTCATCCCGTGGTACTGACATCTCAAAAAGGCTGGGGTCCCTATACATCTGGTTAGTATCTTCACCAATGGTCTTTCATTGTCTTTCACAGTGACAAGCCTCAGCTATTCCCTACGATCCATTCATACCTCCAAAACCAGTACCACCTGAGCGAGACTTTCACATTACAAAGTTTGGTTGTCAGCACAAGGTATAGCTTTGTTCCCCTCTTGTCCACAACTTTAAATTCTTTGTGCTGACTGGCAGTGAGAAGACCCTTCCCAGATTATAACTCAATAATACTGTTTTCTTCTTATTCATGGCCAATTCTTCAGTCCCAGTTGACCAGAATCACAAATTTGTAATTCAAAATATTGAGTGGCCTCAGTAGATTCTTGAGGAGACTCTCTACCTTCCCTCTTAAATTTCCAAGCAAGGCCTCCGTCATCCGCACTGCCTTCTGTATTATCTTGTAAATTCTCACAATAGTTCATTAATCTCTAAACATCAATTGCAACTTTTATGTCTCAAAGTTACAAAGTTCTTTTATAGTACTTCCTATGTGTCATAATAATATCCTACAAACCCAGTACCCATTTCTCTCTTAGCTACAGGTTCTATTGCTGGGATAAAACACCATGACCAAAAACAACTTGGGAAGAAAGGGGTCATGTCACTTTACATTTCTACATCACGGTTCTTTGATGAAGTAAGTCAGAGCAGAAACTCAAGGCTGGAACCTGGAGGCAGGACTGAAGCAGAAGCCATGGGAAACACTGATTACTGTCTTGATCCTCGTGGTTTGCTCAGCACTCAGTACTACCAGCACATGAGTGACACTGCTCCCCCTGGGTTACATACTCACATCAATCATTAATCAAGAATAGGAGCTATACACTCTCTTACAGGCAGTTTTGAAGGAAGCATTTTCTTAACTCAGGTATGTAACAGGAATTGCTAAATGGTCTTATTAATAAAAGAAACCTGGAGTCAGATATTGGGGTGAAACTGAAAGATCAGAGAAACAGAACAAGCCAGCTGCATTCTTATCTACACTAAATCCTCAGCCTCAAGAGAGACTTACTGTTTACTCATATACCTTTCTGTGCCCTGCCTTGTTACTTCCTTCCTAGTGCTGGGATTAAAAGCGTGTGTATGTTAAAGAGCGTAATCATCTGTGAATTTGAGAAAAAGCTCCAATATTTTGATAGATACAGCAGTGTATTTCTCAGTTACTAAATTAACAATCTGTAAATATCTGTAAAGAATTTAGAATGTTTGAGAAACATAAATGATACATCAAGAGAGATTACCTTGCATACATACACTTCTGAAATCAGGTTCTATAATATTCTGTTCAAGCACACATTAAGAACTCTAATGGGTACATGGGAAGCCTCTAAATTATTCTAAAGTAGGTAATAGAATAATATTTCTAATTAACTCTCCCTCAGCCACCTACATTTTTTCACCAATGAAATTTAAAAAAATCCAAGTTATCTAAAATTAAGAAATCAAATAACTTTCAAGATGACAGAAACTAACTCACTCTGAATGAGATACTGCTGATGTAAAAGACAATGATAAATATGTTCATTGATTATTAAAAAAAGATGTATTCAAATAACTGAGAATCTGTAGAGCTTTGTACTATACATGTCCATTTATTTTTTATGTTGTTCAACATCAGAACACTGGAGTGAATCTCCATGTCCTGATATATTTTCACTAAATACTATTTCACAGTAAATATTTGATGTCACTACCTATCATTTACCCAGTCAATTACCAACCAAACAAGTTCCTTCTTAGTCTCCAGCAAAGATAAATAAAGCCTTCTCCTCATTTCCCGTTTACTCATACTTATATAGAAAGTTATTTTATTATTTGCCATAATCAAAACGCACTTTGTTGACTCAGGCCCCAGTAAGGGTGGAATAAAGATGTCTGCATCTCCCCTAGCAAAGCATCAGAACCTAGCTGCTGTGGGTTCCCTGCTCTGAGAGCAGCTGGCACCAGCCCTGCTCCCTCCACTCTCCTCTGAAGGAAGCAGCACTGATTTCTCCTGTGCTCTTGTGGATTCCACAGAGCTCTCAACTCTACATAGCAGGCATAGGACTCACCTTCTTAGAAATTTCTTCAGCAGTGTCCAGATTCTAGTTTGTCTGAAAGGCAAGAAGCAGGGCTAGTTTCATTTGAGTAAGAAGAACAATCTCTCAGAGATTGGACAGGGGTGTTGACATCTCTCAAATGCCAAGAACATGAAGTATTTTTAAAGATGGGAAGAATGACATTGGTCAGAGTCATTTCATTTATCTTCAAGTTGAGCAATCTTGGATGCCTTGCACTCTCCTCTTCCTCAGAGAGGAGGATTGCAAAAGTGAGGACTCCTCCCATTATTCTTAGCTTTCAATTTCCCCAGCTAGCAAGATTGGATTGTCTCCTAACTGTAAACACTTTAGTTACCATGAAAATCAAAGGTCTGCTGTGCTCAGTTGTTTCGCTTCCACGTCTTCATAGGTGGATGTTCCAACCTTAACCCTTCATGTCCAACACCTTTATCCATGTGTCACTGAGAATCACCTTCCTCTGAATAAAGGTAACATCTGAAAGGACAAGTTTGAGCCACCCAGACACTTCTCCCTCTTCTCTACTCAAGGTGGAGGTGGCAGGAGGAGAATTCAGCAGGTGTCTATTGCCACCAAAACCTCAATGTGTTTCCTGGATAGAAGAAGTTTTGTAGTGCAGTTACTTTTGGTTTAAGAACTTACTAAAGCATTCTCTCATTCATTAATTGTTCTCCCAGCCCCCCTCCACCAAAAAAAAAAGTATGAGAAAGATTTCATCACACACTTGCAAATCAAATGATAGATAAGTGGGAAGGAATTAGCTGCCCTCTAGACAAGAGCTAAACTGCTTTCCTTTAATGATTAAGTTAATGATTCCTTAGCATTTCTGCACTGTTTATGCATAAACCCAGCAGTTATAGTGGGCCTATGTAATAACACTATGGAAGCCTTGACAACTGTGGCAAAGCTCTTAGTGTTATTAACATCAGGGACCTGAAATATCCATTATCCTGGTATTTTTCTGTCAAGGAGAATGAGGAATCTCTGGTGTCTATGTGATTTGAGACACAGAACAGATGGTGCCAGGCAGTGGATGGTGGTGAGCTCACCCTAGCTGATCTCCAGGTAAGATCATGTTCTTGGGGTGTTTTCATTCAGCATGTTAGGGTCTCATGCTTGACCAGGATGGGCATATAGGCATGCTAGAAGGTTTTCAAAAGTTGGTCTTTGGCAGCTCTTGTGCCCTCTGATTTTCACAGTGAGAATGTAGCAGGCAGGCAGGTGTAGCTACAAATCTTGTCCTTCAAGATCCTTCAGTTTGCTTACAAGTCTTGGCCATCAGGGCTCTATAGCTCTGGTGTAGACAGATCTATGCCATTCATACCCTTTGCCTTCCAACTCTTTCAACTCTTGAAGGCTTAGGAACTCAGCATTCACTTGGCCTAGAATTATAGCTTCATGGAGAGATTAGATTTTGGGAGTTTTCAGTCTTTGATAGCAGCCAGTGTTAACAACTGTGGGTTTAGGATAACTGAGAACCTTGGCTCCAAAAGCTCACCAGCCCTCAGGAAGTCTTCCTATGCCCAGAATCTGCAGTTTCTCTCCTCTAGCTCTCTATGCCTTTGATACCTAATCATCTCCACTTGTGCCATCCTGCTGTTTCTGGTTGTAGCCACTGTCCTTATGCTGTTTATCTGCCCCTCAGGAAGCCTGCAGCCTGGCCAGGTTCATCTTGCCCTCTGATGTCTACATGTCACTGCTGCTCTGCCACATGTGCCTTTGCTGTCATGCTGCCACTTCCCTGATTCCTTTTTTCATTTCCCTTTTTGGTACTTATTGGCTTTTAAAAATAATATTTCATAAATCTTTTTCATAGTCTTTTCCCTACCCAACTCCTCCCAGATCCTCCCTATCTACCTACCTGTTCAACATCATCAAAATGATGTCTATCTCTCTCTCTCTCTCTCTCTCTCTCTCTCTCCCTCTCTCTGCCCGCCCCCCCCCCCCCCACATACAAAAAAAGATCAATCAAACAAGAGCCATCAGTGTCTGAGAGAGTTATTTGGAATCCCTTGTCCAAAGATTCAACAAGGTATAGCCAATTTTGTTTCTGTGGAGTTTTTCTCCCCCATTATGTGGTGTTTCCAATGAAATTTCTGTCATATATGTGTATATTTCAGGAAACTTCTACAGTAGTATGTAGCTAGAGTTTTCCTGCCTGGCCCACAGTCAGGACAAATCTTTCTCACCTGCCAGTCCCACACCGCTCAGACCCAACCAAGTAAACACAGAGACTTATATTGCTTACAAACCATATGGCCGTACCAGGCTTCTTGCTAACTGTTCTTACAGCTTAAATTAATCCATTTCTATTAATCTATACCTTGCCATGTGGCTTGTGGCTTACCGGCATCTTCACATGCTGTTTGTCATGGTGGCAGCTGGCAGTGTCTCTGACTCAGCCTTCCACTTCCCAGAATTCTTCTACTCCTTGTCCCGCCTATACTTCCTCCTGCCTTACTACTGGTCAATCAGTGTTTTATTTACTAACCAATCAGAGCAACACATTTGCCATACAGAACATCCCACAGCAGTAGTAGTTTTCTATAGAGCTTTTCAAAAGGCCTTTAGTGTTAGTTGTCCTTCCCTGTATTCCTTCATTTCACATTCTCCCCAGGCCCTTGCTCATTTCCTTCTATTTTTGTTCCCCCTTTATATTTTTGTAACACTATATCGTATTTACTCTTCCTTGGAAGATCCCCTCCACCTGCCTGGTTCCTTACTAGCTATCTAACTTCTGTGGTTATTCTTAATAAAATACACATACCTGAAGCTTAAAAGCTAATGTCTACATGTAAGAGAAAACATGTAATATTTCTATTTCTGGGGATATCTTATCTTGCTCAGAATGTTTCTTTCTAGCTCCATCTATTTATCTTCAAATTTAATAATTATACTCTTCTTAACAGGTGAATAACATTTTACTATGTAAGTCCTCCATGTCTTCATTATCCATTCATTAGCTGATGGACATCCAGGATGTTTCCAATTTCTGATTATTATGAACAGAACAGCAATGAATATTGATGAACAAATGTCTTTGTAGTATGGCATAGTCCTAAGGGTGTATGCCTAAGAGTGCTATAGGCGGAACTTCTGAGAGATCTATAGTCAGCTTTTTGAGGAAAAAACACACTAATTTCCACAGTGGGTTTATTCCCACCAGCAATGAATAAGTTTTACTCCTTCCTTGCCAACATCTGCTGCCATTTATTTTTATTAATCTTTGCCAAGACAACTAGAACAATCCTCAATAACAAAAGAACTGCTGGGGATACCACATGCCTGATTCCAAGTTGTACTACAGAGCTATCGTAAAAAAAAATATAAAGTAAAATAAAACAAAACAAAACAAAAACCGACATGGTACT